CCCCAAAACCCCAAAACCCCAAAACCCCAAAACCCCATATATGCATAAAAATACTGAAAAGCACCATAATTAAACATGGGACAGATTTCAGAGATTTGGAAAAAATTGAACTATAGCCAGATGTGGTTCTTGGCAATTTTAGTCCCAATGTTTTCCTTTTTGCCCAGGATGTTCACATATTGTGATAGATTTTCAAGGCAACTAAAACTGGAGAGACCAGACTATCAAAGTGCACAATGGGATGACTTGCTTCCAATTATATACATTGCTCCTATTTTTACGATTGTGAAATACTACTTCAAGAAAATAGCTGCTCCATATTTTGAGGGAAAGCTTGGCAAAAAGTATAGTGGGGATGCCTTGAAACTCAAGATCTACAAATCGACTCGAAATTTGTTCAAAGTATTCTATTTCACATTCATTACACTGTTCGGATTTTACGTATTAAGTGACACAAATTATCACACATCACTAATGTTTGGTAAAGGTGACCTGATGTATCTCTACTCAGACTGGCCTTATCAGGAGATCCCTAAATATTTGAAATTATACTACCTTATTGGTCTAAGCTATCATGCTGAGGACACCATAGCCCACTTTTTCCATCCAATTCAGAATGACTTTTTCGAGATGCTACTTCACCACTACATTACTCTGATGCTTGTAGGAGGATCATACATGACTTCATTCTGGAATATTGGCATCATTGTGATGATTCAGATGGATAACGGAGATGCCATTGGAAGTGCATGTAAAGCATTTATGGACTTTGCCTCAATCCCAATAGTTCTCACAAACTATCTCGGAATTCTCTTCAGCTGGATTTATTTTCGAGATGCTGTTTTTGCCTATGAAACCCTATGGAAGGGAGCCTTCTTTGGGCAGTTCAGGATCAATGATGAAAATAGCATCCATATCCCATTCATTGCCCTATTGATCGGCCTCCTAATCCTGAATCTTTATTGGACAGTGCTCTTCTTTAGAATGGGGTACAGATTCATCTCTAAAGGAGAAGTAAAAGATCTTCAAAACCCAATTGAAGATTTGAAGAAAAAAAGGGATCACAAAAAGACTGCCAAATCTTAAAAAGTGCTTTTTTCTGTTATCCTAATTCTTTGTTAATAGTTACAATAAACTTCCTGAGTTTCATAAAATAGATCTACTTCGGAATAATTTAGACATTATTAAAAACAGTTTAGGCATCATAGTCAGTTCGAGGGCAGATATTTGGGGTTTTGGGGTTTTGGGGTTTTGGGGT